ACACAGTACCTTCCTGCCCTGCTGATGACCCCTAGTTAGCACAGCAGCCTGGGAACGGCATGCGATGACAAGGTCATGAGTATGAATCGAGGAGGCCTCTGTCCACCACTACTGCAAGACTGAAAGTAGCAAAGGCCTTTAACCACTCCGGATTTCGCACACAACCCTCGTCTGCGACCTCGTGGCAGAGAGGCATTAGCAGCTGCCGTTTTATGAGGTCTCCAATGTGACAACGTACTGCGTATATCCATCAGCTGTATGGCCATAAGTTATACACACAGTATCTTCTAAGGGTGTAAAAACAGCCAGGGTACTTATGTAGTTTGATCCTTGAAAAGGTGTAGGGTGACAACGTGCAGATAAATTATGAGACAGTAAAACTGTAATGGTGGCGCACACACTGATGCAGGACTTAGAGGCAGAACAGCAAGCAATCGTTTGAATGGTAAGAAGTTCAAGGCAGAGTTTGGCAAGGGGCAGGCAGGCAGAACCGGGAACAGGCAGCGCTCAAGAACAAAGGCTGAAACACTAAGACTGGGTAGTACATTAGACAGTCTGACATATGACTGGGGAAAGCGGGCTGGTATATATGCAGGAGAACCAGTGAGGGAATGGGGAACAGGTGTGCTGGTGAGTGAGGGGATCAGGTGACTGGGAATGGCAAGAACACATTAAGGGCAACTACAGGGCAGGTGAGGAATGACAGGTATCTCAACTGACAGCAGAGGTTAATAACTGGTAAATGAGGAAAATGAACAAAAATGTGCAGGAAATGACTCAGAAGAGGTAAACCTTATGAGAAATAGTGTAGAGAAAATACAGGATAATACTGTTACTGCAAACCTTAACAAGTTTCCACCAGTTTCTTAACAATAAACCAGGTCAATTATCTTGATTGATTAACAAAGTATAGAAACGCCACACTCTATTGTCCACATTTTAATTGCCCAGTCTGTACAGTAGGGTGCCCCCTGTTGAAGTACTATGGTCCTGTGTCTTCCACACAAGTCTGTTTTTGTTTTCAGCCTCATTTACTGAACTGAAACCTTTTCTTTACTGTTATTTTGCTTTTAATACAAAGACCGAAAATTCATTCATTTATTTTTCATTCACTTTTGTCTAGGTCAGATAAACCTGGAGCGTATCCCTCGATGCTCTGGGAGGAAGGCAGAGAAACACCACTGCATTACACCGACTTTTCACATGTGAAATTTATTTAGCAAATGAGTTATTTAGAGCCTCAAGATTTTGTCAGATTACACAATTCATTTTCAGAGAAACCGTTCATGGATAAGAGCGCACAAAAGACATAGTTAAACTTGAAAGGCGTCCCTATCTGTGGCATTAGCCTCGACATATAGTCACCTGTTTAGGGCTGCAACTGGCAAATATTTCCATTACCAATTAATCCTGCAATTTATTTTCTCAAATAATCAATTCATCGTTTGTTCTATAAAACGTCAGAAGGGTCAGATGTTCTGTTTTGTCCAGCCAACAGTCTAAACCTGTTCAAAAAGAAAAGCAGCAATATACAATTGAGTACCAGAGAGTGTTTGGGAAAGTGATGCAACTTTTTAATGGATTATTAAAATAGTTGCAGATTATTCTGTCAATCGGCTAATCGATCAATCGACTAATGTGTGATACAGTGACAAGAAAGAACTGAATAGCAACAAATATGTTTGTGACAACATTTACAACTAAGAGCAATTTAGATTCTTCAGTCCACCTGACAGGGATTTATTAGACTCACGCCATCACACACACTGTCCTCTAGGAAAACTGTTTGCTTGCTTCTATCTAGGGCTGCAATTAATGATTATTTTCACTGTCAATCTGCACTGCTGTTATTTGTTTAGTTTATTAAAATGTCAAAAAAAAATAGAGGGAAATGCTATGTTTCCCATAGCCTGAAGGGATGTTTTCAAATATCTTGTGCTGTCAACAGCTTAAAAATGTTAACAGTGAAACCAATTCACTTGTGATTCACAGTGAAATGCAGCCGCTCCTCACACTGGAAATGTGTTTTCTTGCTTGAAAAATAGCTGGACCAAAAAAAGTTGCTGATTAATCTTCTGCCAATAGACTTTTTCCTTATCTTTGCAGCTCTACTGCAAATAAAATCAGTAAAACTTTGCAAGAATATAAGTCAATATGTTTAAACTTTGAGTGTTGAATGAATTACAGATTAAATCTATAGTAACTGGTGTTTAAAACAATGTATTCTGAATTGGAAGCAATACAAATGTTATGAAGGGGTCCATTACATTTGAGTTTTTAAGACAAAAAGAAGCCCTGAACTTATCTCTCAGACCAAACAGGTCGGGCTGACTGTATCTATTTAATACCTCTTTTCTGTTCTGTCTCTTATTCTGTTGATTTTCCCTAACAGGGTTTCCTTGAGAACTAAATCTACTTAGGATTTATTGTTTCTTATTATTTCTCGTCATTGGAAATTATAATCCTTTCACCTAATCCCCCCTCTCCCTCCCTCTCTTTCAGATCATATTCATCAAGATCATCCCCTCTGACAAAGCAAGAAATCAGCACAGTGGGGAGGTCTAAAGAGAATGCGTACTGAAACAGGGGGTTTCTTCCTAATCAAATCAGGTTCCTCTGATGTAATCAAGACGAGACGCCAAAGACGACGACATAATCTCCCAGGGACATGCCTCCCTTGCTTGTGCGTTATTAAAAAATGAGGAGGAACAAATCTTTAGATTGAAAGATTGGAAAAATGGAATTATAATAAATCAGGGAAAACTGGGGCAAGGTTGGATAAAGCCTTCAGATACAGATGAGGGACAAATCTTCACAGTGGTTTGTGCTTGTATGTGTTTATGTGTGTGTGTGTGTGTGTGTGTGTGTGTGTGTGAGAGAGAGAGAGAGAGAGAGAGAGAGAGCAGGCGCGTGTTCGTGTAATGTGTTTGCATGGTTGCTTATGAAATATTTCAATTTACTCAAGATCAAGTCCCTGACCTGAGCTTTCCCTCTCTACCTCTGTGTAAAACATCAGGAGTGCCGGTCGTCCCACTAGAACTCACTCAGTGTTGTCGTATAATCTGTTTATACCTAAGGTGACTGGTGGACCTGTGATGCATCATGGAGGGGTTTTGCAATCATTTTACTGTGCACTTACAATTAACACCCACATGATGGCACAATATGACAAAGTGGCCACCAGCTAGGACCTTTAAGGTTCTCTCTATTATTCTGACCTGATCTCAGGGATAAATGAAGTACTACATAGAGTATAATGCATAATGTAATAATACATAATGTAGAAATGCAATATTCAACTTCATTAATGTATTTAGTGAACTGATCTACAAGCACACAGCTGCCTCAACACAAAGATTGAAACTGTACTATAGAAGGACAAGACATTCTGGGTCTCCACCACCAGGTGGCCTTATTGAACTGCAGTAAAAAGTCTATGAACTATGAACTGTAGGCTATTCAGTGTATGTTGATTTTTTGTTGAACATTATTTTGGTGTGTAAAACACTCAAACACACAAAAATAGGTGAATCATTATGGACGGTGTTCTGTCTGCAAGGGCAAGACCATATTTAAAGAGTCTGTGTGCTATGGTGGCTTGGGGTTTAGGACACTGGCCATGAACCACAATTCAAAAACCACAGTCATCACCTGTTCTCTCCTTATCTCTTTAATGTCCACTCTCTAATAAACCAACAGAAATATGGATGGGAATTGAGAAGCGGTTCCAAAATGTCCAATCTGTTGGATTGGTATCATATGCCTCCAGGCTTATCAATTCCTTTTATCGATCCAGGTATGTTTTTCTGACAGTCTGCATTGCGTGGCTTCAATTCACAAAGAAACTCAAACTATAACCGAACCCTTCTCTTCCTGGGCTGGGTTACTACAAATCACATCAAGATGCACAACTTACACACTGTTTGTTGCGTATCTTCTTAACATAAAGAAGATATATAGTATTCAAGTACAAAGCTTATACTTGAAACAGGTTCACATACCACCACACACCATCAACAGGTGACTGGACAACCAATAAATGCAGAATTAGGGAAAAATAATTCACAGCCCCTGCAACTGTGTCTATTTTACCATCATTAAAACACAACAGCTTTGCTAAACAAGGCTATGGTATTTAACATAACCTCATAACACAGAAAGTAGTTAAATACACACAGACAGCCAGAGACACAGTTCACCAAAAGCAGCAAGCAAAGGGGACAGACATATAGAAGTAGGTAGAAAGCAGGTGGATTTATCAGACTCACATTATTTGATGCTGAAGCCCATCCTTTCAGTGGAGATGAGGTGGTGAATATCCATGTCTTATAGTCCCATTTCACTTGTTTGCTGTGATTGTTTGTTGATAGAAATCCTCATCTGCTCTCTCTCCATCCATCACTGCCAGCTAACGTTGGCTGACAAGTATCTGATGTTGTTAGGAATAGCAACAATAGAAAACAAGCTTGATTTAAATTGAACTAACTTAGCTAGCTTTTTAATGTTTGTTATGAGTCCAGATTATAATTTAGTTACGAGTTTCTAATCCAGTAGTAGAGTATTTATAGTATAAAGTATGGTAATTTACTTTGAGATTTACCGCCGGCCGCTGGGGGCGCTGGAAAGACAATAAAATAAGAATTGCTTGCTATGAGACAAAAGTAATATATGTTTTGCACAAAATGACAGTGGTAGGTATTTTAGTGAGTAAGTCATGGTTTTATTTGGTTACTGAAAAGGGGGGGCTGCTGCATTTTTGGGGGTCGACAAGGGGGTCTTGTTGCCATAGCAGCCAATGAACCACCACACATGTATTTTAGGTTAAGAGTTGTAAAATCACCCTAAATATTGAGTGCTATAACGAAAGTGGAGGTTTTGTCTGTCACAAGTTTTATAATGTTTTCTTAGAGCAGCTTGTGTGCTCATTCTGTGTCAGGCTGCCATTATGAACTATTATTGGGGGAGGGTGACGACGCCCCATCACTTGGAGCCGGGGTGCCACTTCCCACTTCTCTCCCGGGTCCTTGCGAGTAAAGAGTCTTTTTGGAGGAAGAAGCACAATGACGGGCAGCATCGAGGGACTTGAGAGGTTTGACAGTCCGGGGAAAGGGCGAGGTCTCCGTGTTACCAGACCCTTTAAAGTTGGAGAGCTGCTGTTTTCCAGCCAGGCATACTCTTATGTGCTGTCAGTAAAGGAGAGAGGCTACTACTGTGAGTTCTGCTTCACCAGGTAAATGACTGGTTATCTCTATCTAAGCGTTAGTGATACAGTTCATAAAGAGTCTCCTCTGAGCACCTCTGCCTGTATCAGATGCTGTACAACCTTTGTGATGATACCTCACATCCTATGGCTGCAAGACCCCATTGCATATGATTGATTTCTTATTAGATCTGAGTAAGTTTAATATGCAAACTCCATTAATTGCGGATTAATTGGTGATTAGTCTTAATATGCATTGATCACCATACAGTACCACTTAGGTGACCTGGGAATCAGATGGATCTGTATGTCTTTGCTCTGCTGGTGATGCCAGACTACCAAAGGCTCTTTGTCACTCCAAAATCTATTTTGGTTATGTGGCTCAGCTTTCTGAATGGTGGTTCATGCTTTCCCACATGTCCTCTCTGGCCCCTATATGGATGCTGAACATGAGAAATTTGTTACCTGAATAGCATCATGATTAGCCTACATAATGCAGTGTCTTTCAGCTCTTTAGTGGTGATTATTGAGGGGGTTATATATTACAAATAATATCTCTGATGATGTATTTTGCAGAAACATACCATTTTTTTATCATTGGTTTATGAAGGGATCATGGCAGTTGTAAATCTAAGTGCATATAGTGAGATTATTTCAAAATGACACATGTAATAGTTTAGTTATAAATCACACTGTCTAACATTTCCTTTTTCTCCAGCTAGGCAGTCATGCAGCTCTTGGCTGTATTGGCATGCCTGAATGTAATGATAACAGTCAGTTAAATTCTAATCTAATATCAATGTGTAATCATTTTCTTTGCCATGTAGTCTACAGGTTGGTATGGATGCAACTGGTTGCACTGCATACATACAGCTTTAAGAGTTCTGTGATTTAAAACATCACCACTTGCAGCAGCAGCAGGTTATATATTTGTTCAGCTTAACATTAAGAAATTATTTTTTGTCCAAATGTCTTTATTTGGGAAGGTTCTGTGAGGTTCATTATGGATGATTTACACTGAAACTACCATAATTTGTCCTCTTTGACTCCTTAAATGATGCTGAGAGATTACGTAAAAAGTTGCAGAACTCTAGATATGTGCACAGTTTGGGTTCTGTGCAGACATTTTTATGTTATGTCCAATGCTGATCCTCAATTATCAGATCAGCTATCATCAGTTGTAAGCCACTGTAAGCCAACCTTAAATGTAACCTTAGTCTCGGATAAATAGAAAACAAATTTCTCAAAATTCAAATTGAAACTGCATTTCTAAAGTGTAGATGAAGCCTCAAGCTTAGAAGACTTTTGCAGATACCGTTATAGACATCGTTCTACCATAGAGGATCAGAGATGTTTAATACAGCTCACTTTGATGGGTCAGTGTGTGTAGAGTTGAGTGCAGACTGTATGACTCAGGTTGGACTACCAACAGTGGACTTTTGGACTGCTTTACTGTTTCAGTGCAGTAGAGGGACAGCTGGCCATCATAAGGTCAACTCTATTAATATCACAGAATGTTTTAAAGCCCTTCATTGCTATCAGTTACGACGGGCCACCAGCAACTGCTGCTTCTTGTCTCAGAGCAATGGAGCAGGGTGTTTAAATGCACTTACACGCTCAAGAAGCTAAATACTCACATACAGCTAGATATAGAGATACAACAAGATAATCCACTATCCACTGAGCTCTGGTGTCTGAGTGTTGTGTGTCTGGGGAAAGAAGATTATACAAGGATGTGTGAGGATCTTTCAGTAACTATGCTGCTTGCTATAACCTAATAGACCCTGTTCCTGTCATTTATAGGAAAGAAGGCTTGGCAAGATGTGGGAAGTGCAAGAAAGCCCTCTACTGCAATGCAAAATGCCAGGTAGGAAGCAGTTGTCGGAGGGATAGAATGACTCTGTAATGTAATGATTCCTGTGTAAGTGGTTAATGGACAACGATGTGGTGTAAGATAATGGGTCCTATCATGTAGTTCACAGTACCACACTATTACTGTGTATTTCCTTAACAACAGCTATTGTATGTTGGAACAGAAGCAGATCCACCTGAGGAATGATTGTATCTGCAGGTGGACCTTCCTGACACTTTTCTCAGGAGTATATTTCAAATTATATTTCAACAAGCAACTACTGGATGGATTAACATGAAATGATGTACACATTACATGTGCACAGTGGTAAATATTTGTCCCAGGGGCCCCCGGATTGCTCACCTGGTAGAGCTGATCTCCCACATACTAAGGCTGAGTTGGCTGCAGCGGCCATAGGTTTGACTCCAACCTGCTGTGTTTCACCCCCTCTCTCTCGCTCCCCCCCTTTCCTGTCACTCTTCAGCTGTGACTGTCAATTAAAGGCAATAAAAGCCTGAAAAATGTTTAGGGCTCTAACTTAAGGGCCTCCCTCCAACCCGGGGATGGAAGATAATTGATTATGGAGGATAAAAAATACATTTTGGGGTGTTTGTGGGATGGAAGGTAGACTTAGCCTTGAGCAAAATCCAACTGCAATTAAACCATAACATTACTCTCTGACAAAGTTGTCAGTGAAGAATTGTGAGAGAAAAGAAAACCGTGCCTAATGAAAGAAGTATAACTATTGACAATGGTCTTTTATTTATGCCACACAGCACTTTTAAAGATTTTAAATAATTTTATTGTAGAAAAACAGCCATTTTATAACTGGGCGGCCAGCAGTTTAGAAGTTAGAGCGCTGATGTCCATAAGAGTTCATGATGGTACAGCTCTAAAGGAAATGACTGAAGTCTTATCACTCATTTCTTTAGTAATAGAAAATACAATTGTACTCTCAAGTACAGCTGAGGCTGTGTAACAATGAGCTGAGATGACCCACAGTAGTCACTGTAGAGAGGATAAACACTGTGTTTCTGGTGACTGCATGTCCTGTCCTCTTATGCCAACCTCAAGACCAAAGTTAACATTTTTCCCCACTAGTAACAGTGTTTTTAATAACGCCATTTTTCAGCATAACACGACAATGGGTGCAGTGGTATATTCTGATATATATTGTATATATAGTGTCACTTTAAGGGTTGTTATTTCAATTAAAGTCACGTGTAAAAGGGAAGTTTCATCTAAGCCTTCCTAACCCCACTCAAAAAACATACAGCTGAAGACTGCAAATCCCCCACTGGCTGGTGTCTGTTAATGTAGATCAGAATATAGATGCCATGTATACCAGCATATTATGAGGTATATAAAGCGATGTGAGTGGTAAACTTGCACTAATGTGATTATAATGAACTAAATCAGAGTGGGACCAAGCAAAAAATGAATGTGTCAGTTTGCATATGGAGAGGTAAATGGGTGAGGGTAGCGTTAGCTTAACACAGTGTGGAGTCACATTCCACCATGCTGCTTAATGCTTCAGCTGGCAGTGTAGTTCAGGGGCCATATATGACAACTGTTAGGCCCTTTGTTGTGGTGGGACCTAAACTGTAAATAGTTAAATAGGCCTTAAACTACAGGGTTGCAATTTTGCATGCTATCATAAGATTTATATGTGTTTGTGTGTAGAAAGGGGACTGGGCCATGCACAAGCTGGAGTGCTCTGCAATGACTGCATTCGGAGAGAACTGGTACCCGTCAGAGATATCCCGCCTGGTGGCCCGGATCCTCGCCAAGAAGGTTGGAGAGTTAATAAAAGACACAGTGTCCTTCTGGAGTGCTATCTGGCATGTACTCTGGTTAATTGAGGTCATTTTTGTGCCTGTTTTCTACAGAAAACACAGAAAGGAAGATGTGTATCTGAGAAGATCTTACTCATAGAAGAGATGCAATCACGTGAGTAATTGCTCCTTTAACACACAAGCATAAAAGCACACATGAATTTTGTTTGTGTTTGCACTCTGTTTGCTCTTTAGGGACAACCGCTGGAAAGCGATTGTGCAGATTTAGTGTAAAGTGTCTGTACTTCAGTACTAAGTGTCCCTAGATATCCCGCTTAAAAAAGCACAACCCATTCAGATTAGACTGAGAGAAACCTCCATGGCCACATCTATATATATCCTATAGATGTTGGTCGAATGGCATTAGACAACATAACAAGTGTAACAGCTTGAATGGGAAGCAGGAGCACTTCAGACTAACACACACAGTGCATGAGTGTCTGTAAGTCAAATGGTGTCTGATCAAGTTAATCGTATAAAGGTAATTCATAGTTGAGATTTAGTTCAAAATCACTTAAAAGTATCGTAACTAAAATTTTGTAGCATTAAAAAGTGGGGCATAAAAAACAGACTGTTTATGATGCTGCGGAGAGCTGGATGTGGTAAAAATGACTCCAGAAGGAGCTGCGTGAAGTCTGATAAATTGCCTCAAGTGATGTCATTTGAGTAAAGCTTAAGGTTGGAAAACTGATATGACTTTAAAAATACAAAAAAAACTTGGATGTGGAGTTAGAAAGAAGTAAGCTTACCTGACCTCGGTCCATCTCTGTTTGAGGTTAGCAGCTTCATGCTATATTAGCCACGTTGGCCACTACTAGCACACACCCAAATCTCTGACTGAACTCTCACTGGTCGACTTGCATTCTGGGTAATGTAGGTAGCAGGTTTTGATAAGGAAGAAGAAAGGGTGGATTTAAAAAAAGATATCTCTGGGTCTGCTGTATCAACTTTAACTGTCCATCGAGAGTCTGACAATGTCAGACAGAACACTTACTTTACACATACTTACTCTTTTTTTGGGCAATGTATACTATTAGTCATCATGGCTCTTCTTATTTTCTTCAGTAATAGAAAATAATTTTTTGGGGCATTTTGCTTATTGACTGGAGAGTAGAGAGGGAGAGGAAAGAGAGTGAGGTTGTTATGCAGCAAATGTTCTTGGGCCAACTCAAACCCGGATAAGGACTCAAGCCCAGTTCTACCCGGTGAACTTCCGGGCACTTGTAATAGACCTGAAATTTTCTGTGCACAGATTTCTGCTCAAATATTTTCATGAGCTTCAGCATCATCAGCTTTCCTTTGAAATGCTGAGTCAGTGTCTGATGTGTGAGCATGAATTGACTCTAGTGTTACTGGTCAGGGACAAGATGCAGACACAAACACAAACACACAGTTTGGCAGCTTGTATATGGATGACGTGGTGATAATGCGTTCCTGCCTTGGCATAGTGAGAGTGACGGAAGGAGAGCTGTTTATCTCCATCTATTTACAGTTGTTAAAGATTAACAGACTGGACCTGATGAAAACAAACCTGCAAAGATCATCAACTGAACGCAATCTACCTGTCTATATGTCTGTTGTTTTGGACTGAATGTTCAATGATCACTTCAAAATCAGATTTGAAACAGGTTCACGGTGTAATTACAAGTCAGTGTTATTTGAACATCCAGTTGCAATGTCCAAACATACAATGTAAAGATATTGAGGGTGAGAAATAGTAAATTATACACAGATTTAAAGACCAACTGTGCGCGTTTTGCTTAAAGGATGCTTAAAATAGCAGCAAGACATTGCAAGTTACTAGACTGGTCACTTGCTTTGTGCGGATAATATTTCCTACAAATGACCATAGTGTTTCATCTGGGAAAAGAGGGTACGTCCACATTAGGATGGTATGTTCTACTCTGTCGCTATCTTAATTTTAGCCTGGCACACACTAAGCAGTGTTCACCTAGTTTTATATTAGGACATCGGAGTCTGAAATAGATACTGGCCTAAAGAGTAGGCATGCTACCCTTGGTAAATAGTAAATACAAGTTGGAAAAAATATACATTTGATCAATCAAATCAGAATGTCTTCCCCTCTTCCTGGAACAGATGTGGAGGACGTAGACAATGAGAAAAGAGAGATGAATGAGGCAGATGTTGCCGGACTCCATCGTTATTTCTCCAAACATTTGGAGTTACCCGGCCACAAAGACCTGCTCACACTCTTCTCCCAGGTACCACACACACACACACACACACACACACACACACACACACAAATAATGGCAATATGTATATTCTTACTATCTTTTTTGCCACATCCTTGTCAAGTAAGCATAGATTCTGTAATGCTAACAATTTGCTTGTTGGTGATTTCCATGTCAACCGCTGGAGTTTAAGAGGAAAGAAGACATAGTGATTTACATATAATTTGATTGAGTGTTTGAATTGTTTTCTTTTTCTCCTGTGTTTCCTTTATTCAACAGGTTGCCTGTAATGGTTTCACTATAGAGGATGATGAACTGTCCCACATAGGTACTGCAGTCTACCCAGAGTAAGAAGGAGTACTCACATGCATTCATACAAGCACATTTTCCTTCTGTACACATGTAGGTACAGTATATGAGTACATTCTCTCCTCCTTACACAGCTCCTTCTGAGGTGCTCAGTGTCATAGGGACAATACAATTACACATTACATTTTTTTGTTTTACTTTGTTACATGTAAAAGATATGCCAAAATGGGCCAGATTGTCAATTCCTAGCAAGACAACTGTTCTTCTCCAGTTGGTCATTTGGTGGTAAAATCCTCTCCCTGCTGTGGCAGAGGCTGTTCAGTGTTGAAACTGCCTGCGTGAAGGTGAATTTGCCCTCTCAGCTCCTTTTTGAGCTATTTCCAGCCTGCTACTCCTGTAATAGCAAGGTCGCGGACATATTTCAGGGACACTCAAGACCTAAGACGAGTGCAGTTGTAGCGTAGTCCTAATACCACTTAAAATAGGTGCTTATGTCACTGTTATGTCATTACTATGAGCAATAAGAAGTTGGCACTTTTCTCACTGCTCCTACATCACCTATTGTAAGAAAGTACAGAGCAGGATTTGTATTCTTATCTTTCTTTCCCTCTCTGTCTATCTCTCCGCAGTGTGGCATTGATAAACCACAGCTGTCTTCCCAGTGTCATAGTCACATATGACGGGACGTCGGCTGATGTTCGGGCAGTGAAGGACATGAAGCCTGGAGATGAAGTGAGGAAGGGCAACAGCTGCCATTAGAGGGGATTGGGTCTTGTTCAGTTTTTTTCCTCAAGTGTGTGTGTGTGTGTGTGTGTGTGTGTGTGTGTGTGTGTGTGTGTGTGTGTGTGTGTGTTTGGTGTGTGGAGAAGGGAGCTGTACTTATTACAAAAATGCAGAGTGTGTGAAACATTTATCCGTGAGCTTGATATGGTGGATCAGCTTGCACCAAATTCAAAGTTTTACTATTAAACTAGTAAAGAACAGTTAATTAAATCAGAGTAATATATAGCAATTGATCAGCTCTAAATTATCTGTAAGCCAAGTATTGTTTTTTGATTGTGTTATCTGCCACCTTGAGCTTAAAGGAATAGTTCAACATTTTGGCAATACACTTATTTGCTTTCTTGCCAAGTGTTAGATGACAGGATAGACACCACTCTCTTGTCTGTCCATAAAAATATGTAGCTACAGCCGAGAGATGATTAAGAGCCAAGTTAACTGTTGCCCCGTTTCCAGTCTTTGTGCTAAGCTAAGCTAAAAGGCTGCCAGAGGTAGCTTCGTATTTACCATACATACTAACTATTCCTTTCAAAACTTGAAACAAACTTGACAGGTTCTGGTTCTGGTCTCAGCAGAGGTGGAGAATATGGATGAGACAGTAGCTCAAAAATGGAAAAGCCTTGGAGACTTGACATTAGGATTGTGAGACTGAAAGGCACTGCTCATGCCAAAGCCTTCACATGTCTTTGGCATGAGCAGAGTGCGTTATCACCTGTGTGTGTGTGTGTGTGTGTGTGTGTGTGTGTGTGTGTGTGTGTGTGTGTGTGTGTGTGTTTTCGGGGCCAGCAGCTGATTCAAGAAGCTGGTGGAGTTATTTTCAGACTGACCTTGTAACCTGCAGTTTAGGAGCTATCTCGTATTAAATACAAGACAAGAGGATTAAAAACAAGAGGGAAAAAGGATGGAGAGAGTGCATTATTTAGCATTTGCTGTGTGTTATTTTAATCTCTAGGTGCTCATCAGCTACATAGACGTCCTCTATCCAACAGACGACCGCAACAACAGGCTGAGAGAGTCCTATTACTTTACTTGTGAGTGCAAGGAATGTAAAAGCAAGTCCAAGGTAAGACACCACAATTAGTGCTGACAAAAAAGAGGCTAAATGAAGTGATTTTGTGAGCCCTAACTCATTAACACTGTATATCCCTCAAGTAATAAAACTGCCATTCTAAATCATTAGTAAAATTTTAAAAAACTGCATGTGATATATTGATATGTTGGTTGTGTGCTGTCTTCACCTCCAGGACAAGGCAAAGTTGAAAGTACGTAAGCGCAGTGACCCCATCGAGCCAGAGGTCATTAACAACATGGTGCGCTACGCTAAGAAAACCATCAGAGAGTTCCGGGCCCTGAAATACACAAAAAATATCCTTTAATGTCACTAAATAACACAAGCTGTTGTGTTGCACAAAAGTTATGATTCTTGATTCTGAGAGAACAGAACTAACTTATTCATTGCAGATGTCATTCTTTAGTGAAGTGGTTTCCCAGATACTAAAACATCTGATTATATGATCATATGGTGTATGTATGGTGTTTCAGTCACTTGTGCTGTTGCAGCCTTGACTCTGTAGCACCCCCTAGTGAGTTGCTGGAGATGTGTGAACAGAGCCTGGAGGAGATGGGCGCTGTCTTCGATGACTCCAATGTCTACATGCTCCACATGATGTACCAGGCCATGGGGGTTTGTCTCTACATGCAAGACACAGTTGGAGCCATCAGATATGGCGAGAACATCATCAAACCTTACAGGTGCTAAGAAAAACAATACAACTGTTTACACACATTCTAACTAAGAAGGTCAGAAATTACAGATTGTAGCAGCTCAAACGCGTAGGCTTTTAATTTATTTCTAATTGATTTTATTGGTTTCTAAAATGGGTAATTCTTTCATTTCAAATTAATTTTTGATTAAATCATCTTATATAAATTAGTAGAGGTATGAATTACGAATCAATGCAATTTCATTGCATTATGGGACTAAAAGTCTTGAAATCTCTGCCTCTGTTGGTTCAATTGTACTTCTTTTTAATCTGTGTCTTGCAAGTAAGATATTCTATTACTCTTCACTCCCCTGGCTGGGAAATATGTGTCAATTTGAAAAGTTATGAATGTGATTAAAAATATCAAAAGGTTTAATTAAAATCACTTGTTTCACCGTCTACTTTCTTTATGATTACGGTGAGCAGTACAGGAAGATTAGGGGCCTTCTTGTCATAAATCACATTTTATCTTCATGTCTAGAAAGCAGTAATTTACCTGTTTTAATCAGTATGTGTGATCTATTTCCAATGCAGCAAACTGTATCCAGCCTACTCTTTGAACGTGTCCTCCATGTACCTGAAGTTGGGCAGACTGTACATGGGGCTAGAGAAGCATTCAGCGGGCATCAGCGCTCTCAAGAAGGTAATATGACCCGCTGAGATTTTCTACGCTCATACAAAACAACAAAAAGTCATTAGTCCTTAAATTTCAGTATAACACCAACATGTTTTTTCCAGTACCTCACTTAGAAGAATAAAAAGATGTTTTTTGACAAAACCTATGTTGTAATGTTTAAACGGAAGGCTTTCTCTCAGATTTAAAATTTTGTCTAAACTCAATTTAGGTTCAATCTACACAGACCAAGAACTCATGTACGTACTTGCATGCTGTAAAATGTTGTAAGATGATATTTGTTTGTGTGTTTTCACAGGCAATGGCCATAATGGAGGTGGCTCATGGGAAGGATCACTTCTACTTGACAGAGCTGCGCAAAGAGATACTAAAAAAATGAAGAAAAATGAAAGCAATGATGTAACACGGCTGACTGCATACACTCCTTTGGCTAGGAGACCTACAGAACTGAAGGCACTTTCTACTCTTTTTGGCACTGAAGCAAAGATAGAGCGCATTCATGTTTTTATGGAAAAAAAATTTTTTTTTTTCAAGATTCAACTTTTTAAATCAGTGTTTTGTATGCAAGAACCTTTTACTGTAGTTTGTTAAATGGAGGATAATTTAGCAAGCAGGCATTTAATGTTCATTTCTGACATTGTGAAAGCTGCTTTTTACTCATGTTGACCATAATGAGTTTGAGAATTCCTAATTCGTAATGAGTTTGTGTTTGTTTTGGATTTTGACTGACATGTCAGCTGGACCCTGTCATCCATCAGAGTGGAGTTGTTTACATATGTGTGTAGGGGGTCAATGCAACAAAATGCCTGTCAGCCTATCAGGACAGCTACCTCACCACAGGAGGCCTGTTAAAGCTGCAGAATGTGCCCCAGTCAGGATGGTGGGCTGGGCTACAGCGCTGTGTTTGCATTAACACCTTGTGTGAGTATTCTGCATTAATTGTGACTAATGTCTCCTTGACACTGTCTTACCAACAAAAAGAGAATGATTTAAAAATTCAGAAATAAATGAATTTGTGGCCACAGTCTTAAAGAAAATAAGGCTTTATTGCATAATAAGCAAGTACGACAGCTTCATACATGTCTGGGGAAAGAAAAACAAAAGACTTGATGTACTGAAAACGCATATACAAAACATATGTACACATACTTTGAAAGGTATTTGGAAGTTTTGCCAAAAAAAATGAAGGGGAAAAATTAAATATAAACAAACAGTGGAATGCCGTGTGAGAAAATACTGTCACAAAGAGAACAGAAGTGCAACAAAACACTTATATGTCAAGAGAGCATAAAGCTTATACTTACTTAAGAATATATACATTGAAATATAAAAACGCATGCATAGTTTATTATGTTGCGGTATTTTTAGGGTACCAAGTCAAAAAGAGAAACTATATAAAACATTTGTAGAAAATTTTTCTCACATGCCCATTATGTACAAAGTTACTTTGGACATGGCTGGCTTTGCATTACGATTCATAAAAATAAAAAAGTTTATTTAATGTAAAGTGTAAAAGGAAATTCTTCAGAATGTAATTTTATAAACAGGATCAAGGAACGTGGGAACGTAGTGTTCTGTTGGGTTTGGATCAGATTATTACAAACGATCCTTCAAAAATAAACCTCAGCATTCTCCTACTGCCAAATCCTTACATAAAGAGTAAGGTAAACCTATTTGAAATGTTTAAGTTGTTCTTATAACAAAACAAAAACTATTAAATACTGAGTTAAAGATTTCATCTTTGGGGGTAAAAAAAAAAATTAATTTAGTTTATTAAACCCATACAGAACCCTAAAACAAGGCTAGGGATGTCTACCAGGCGGCTTCTCCTAGTTTCATGTTTCAATAAGGCACAATGTTACAGTATATACATTATTTACTGTATAAGGACACAGTTCTCTATTGACTGCATATGCAAACAATAAACCTTAATTTATAAACCATCTCCAAGGAATTAGACAAACACCTTTTAGGCTTTTGAAATGTTTTTAGGTAAGAAATGTGATGAGACACATTTGATCGCAAGAAGCTGTGATTCAAGAAACCGTGAAAATGTAGTGTGTGTGTGTGTGTGTGTGTGTGTGTGTGTGTGTGTGTGTGTGTGTGTGTGTGTGTGTGTGTGTGTGTGTGTTGCATGTGAAGGAGGGATCTCAATGTATCAAATGAGGAAACTCCAGGAGGAAAATGGGCGCAATCATTTTCACACTGACAAGGAAAGATTTTTGTAAAACATAGCAAAAAAGAAAAAAAAATTGACAGAGGAAGGAACGACATGTCAATGCTCCTCCGTTCAATGCAAAGGTGACCACAATCTTGATAGAAATAAATAAAAACATTTGTTACAATGTTGAAGTAAATATTTGCTGTATTAATCAATACTCTGTTAAAAATAAAAGAAACATTTTAGAACTGTGATTCAAAGAATACTTTTGTTTGGCAAACTCTTTCAGAGTACAGGAAATAGTAATAATACTGCTGCCACCTACTGTTCATGCAGCATAGTGCCGTTTTTAATAATGGCTGAATAGTAAATGAGAAATTTACAGCCGCATTTGAGCAAATGGAACACAATTTGTGTTATCTGCCATCCCTGACTATAACCTGCCTAACTAAGAACAACCCCATTGTAACACAGTCCTTGAAAATATGGTCCACTATTAGGAAAAAAAAACTATAGATGTCTCTCTGCTTGCCCCTGTTTGTCCCAGTCACCTCTTCTCCCCGTCCACCATGGATGACTATTTCAGGTTTTAGGAAATGGAATGGCATGAAGACCCTTTTTATAGATAAACTGCAAAATAAATGTAATTTATCACAATCCCACTTTTTCAGATTGCTGCAGGTTGGTAATTATATTAAAGCCAACACACCTTCCTTTCCTGGTTTGCCCAATGAGTCACCTATGGAATCTCTGTTTTCCTTTGAGCCCTTAAAACACTTTTATTTTATCTTTTATTTGGGGAGAGGATTTAGGGGATGCCTGTGACAGTGGAGCAGTAGAGAAACGCCCTGGAAGAGGTGCATATGGCCTCAATCTGTGTCCGGCATGGCCTCATTCAATTCAAGGTGCAGCACTGGCTCAAGTTAAACTCACTAAAAGGTTCCCAGATGTAGATTCTACCTGTGACAGATGCAGACTCTCATCTGCCTCTCTAGCACACTCATTCTCACAGTGTCTTAATTGGTCAACTTACTGGAGTGAAATCTTCAAAACGCTGTAAGATATTTTCAAAATGGTAATTCAGTCAGATGTTATCATTGATATTTTTGCCACAGCAGGAGAGACCAATAAGAACCTTTCTGGAACCAAACTTTGTTAGCATGTATATTGGTCCTTCTCCACTGGAAGAAGCCACAGAGTTGGACTTAGTGGCTGAGGAAGGTGATGCAGCATCTTAAACTTAAAAAAACTGAGACTTTTTTGTATTGTTGTATGGCTGTATGTTCCAAAAAAAAAAGCCAATACCAATCTGTTTGAAAAGGAAAAACAAGCTGCTTATTCACCTGACCTGCATTGAGAAAACACACAAACATACAGTCTCCATACAGACGGACCAGGTCCAAGAATAACATATGAATACACAGATTAGGAGAATTGGTTGTCAGTTTCTATACAGGCCTACACAAATCCCATCCTCCCTTGAGGTGAGTTTGTATGACAATGCCATATAGAAAACATGAATCTCTATCTGCTCCCAACCAGCTATCAGTTATACTGTATCAGTTGTACTGTCCTCGTGCTAATCTGAAGTACCGTTGTCGTTATCTGGTGCCATTCTGCCACGCCGTGTAAGGTCAAAGGTCAGTATCCCGGGCTCAGATGAGGCGGGAGTTCTTGAGGAACTGGATGAGGACTTGGTAGACAAATTTGTACTGGGAGATGGTCTGCACCATCAGCATCCTCTGCTGCCTCAGCCCTGACAACATGGTGGGAACCTCCACTTGCTGAAGGGGGTGGGGAGAAGAATCAAATGAAGAGAAAAATGAGAGCAAATCCTTTAGGGGTGTAAACTGTAAAATGAATTGTGTTGAGCTACATTACTACCTGCCTGCTCTCCTGTCACATGTATTTACATTCTCTCACAAAGAAGGATTCACTGAGTAAAATAATGTAAGGACAATACCTGGATTTACCTGGTCTGCCTACTTGGATGAGAAATGTACATAAAGTGTTTTGCAAATTTGTCTTATCTTTCAAACAACCCCATGTTGCTGCATGTTTTAACTCACACAGCCTGCCTTACAAAATAAAAGACCTAAATCTATGTTTTTCATCCAAACAATTAAGCTGTGTATTAATCCATGTGGTACTTGTGATACAAATATCCTGTCACAGAAAAGCTAAAAATGACAAAAAAAAGAAATTAGAACTCAATCTGACCCTTAAATTTGCAACCCTCATTGTACCCCACTGTGCACCCACCTCATTGTGCTCCAGGCAGCTGATCATGAGCTCAGTGAGGATGACCACTCCGGTGCGACCCACCCCGGCGCTACAGTGCACCACCACAGGTGGATTGAGGCTCTTTGAGGTGTCCAGCATGGAGTTAGTGTGTCTCCTCACAGACTGGATCTCCTCTAGATAGGCTGCGGGAGAGTAGAAGGAGACAAAGGTCAGATGTGGGCATTATGTCTGCCAGTTTGTTGAATGTGGTTAACTGCTTTTGTTGCATAATAACATATTTCACAGTCATGCTTATTGGCTTTCTTGCCAGGAGTTATATTAATACTTTTCTCATATCGGCTGGATAAATATGAAGCTAGATCCAGGAGGCGCTTAGCTTAGCTTAAAGACTGGAAGTAAGTAGGTAGTCTAAACTAACTGCCTGCTGACTCTAGCTTCATATTTACCACATAGACATAAGAGTGATATCAATATTCTTGTCTGACTCACTAAGAAAGTGAATAAGCATAATTCACAAAGTGTCAAATTATTCCTTTAATTAGACATTAAATAATGAAGGTACAGTAAATTTCATATCTTTAAATGTATAATGATGATAACGACGACACAATCCCACTCACCAAGGAAACCCTGGACATATTCGGGACAGCCCTGCTCAGGCCAGTCAGTGTACTGCAGGTGCCAGACCGTCCTCTCCTGGCCAGACAGCAGGTGTTTGACCTTTAACCCCGTGGTGGCGTAGCAGCCTGAGTCGGTGCGGAATTTGGTGGTCACCTTGAACTTGCCGTGAGTGGCTGAGTTGTGTTTGGAGCCCAGTTTGGGCCAGTAGCGGTGGCTCTTGGACCTGCCACCCTCCTAATTAGAAGATGAGGATGGATGGGTGATTTTAAGGAAGAAAAAAAGAAAAGATTGGGATGAGGGAAAGTAGATGTACACCATGAGCTCTGACGCCTATACATGAATATAAACACACAGCAACACACACACACACACACACACACTCTTGCTTTCATCCTATTTCTCCCACACAGACAGACGCCAGCTGTCGGGCGCTGAAAAATAGCCACATCTGCGTGTGCCGTGTGTGTGCATATGTGTGTGTGTGGGTACCTCCTCTGCAGTAACCATGGCAATGACGTTGACCCCTTGCTCCCAAACCATCTGCCAGAAGTCGGCACAGGTGTTGGCTAGCGGGCCCTGGGTGGCGATGTAGTGCCACTCCTCCCCTCTGATCATCACCTGGGAAAACGCACACACACACACACACATAAAGAATCAATTAGCGCATATTGAGATTATAGTGACTGTAGCGCAAGAATCAGCCTACACATTTGTAAACAAAGCTGCTTACTGACTAAATCAAGGAAAAATTCACACGTAAGCCAGAAATGAATTAATTTAGACTTTAAAATATATGTGAATAACTAATTCACACACATTGACAATCTCATTGATTATTCTCATCCACCACTGGAGGGCAGTGTAAATATAATTTTCATCCACAGGCTTTTCCCTCATTTATAAAACTATCAACCCCTCTTCTTTAAGCGTTCTTCTGCTTTACCTCATTAAAAATCAAGGCATCACACAGCACTGAAAAACTTTAACACACTCTAGCTACATAGACTTCAGAGTGCCACTACATAATGAGCATGTCCCAGCTAATTCCTCAGGCCACCTCGTGACTGTAAACACAGTATTAGGAGATGGATGTGGAATAAACAAGGCCTTTTGTTCTGTGGCAGCTACCTTAAATGACGGGGGGGAAGTAAGAGGGTTACACCGTGATAGGCAGCGATTCAGTGCTGCTTTGCTGATCGCACTCGCACACCAGACTGCAATTAGGCATACACACAAAATGCAAACTCATGCATATACACAAGCTGTGCACATACACTGTTTGCAACTGAGCATGAATACAGGGGCTGCTGTGAGAGCAGCTCAGGTTGACTTAAGAGGGTTTGGAGTTTGGACCGCATTCTTTGGGAATTCCACAAGCTCTGTGAGCTTAAAGGCCCAAACAGACTTCAACAGCTGCCTTTCATCCTATCCTCCGAGCCATTCGCTGCTTAAGAATGACCACAACAAAGACTAGCAGAGAGCTGAATGTATCAAGTTTATGCCCTTTGTTTTAAATTATTTTGTATGATGTGGGTGATGCAAAGCACTTGCTGTAACTGTGATTAAGAGCCATAAACATAAGCTTGAATCTCATAAAACACTACAAAACTTGACTGTTTTACCAGTCAATATGATTCTTTTTCTCTTTATAAGTTCACACTGAAAACTGACAGATGATTAAGTGTGACTTAGAAATGACACAGGAAACATCTATTGTTATATGATTGTATACATTTATATGTGTGCTTCCATCTATCTGTTTTTATGAGCATTTTAAATTTCCGCATAAAAACAAACATGCGGGGAAATGCTAAAAAAAAAATCGGAAAAAAAAAACAACAACTTTGAAATATTGCAAAAGCTTGCAAGATGGCCGAGATGGAAAAAGTTGTTGTATCGATAAAATCCAAATGCTTCCACAAAGCATCAGATCTATGTGGAGCGATGAAGAATTTCCATCATGTTTTTCTACATTGTTTTTCCAACGTTTGAGCTTTGACTTCTGTTTTAATTACGTCATCCTGTAGCTTCCTCTTCTTCTGCAATGGTTTAATGGCAGCAAACTAGAGAATGAGCGCCTCCAGCTGTTTGTCTCAATGAACAAACTACTTACATTTGCAGAACAGTAGGAGATGGAAATGTACATTCACTTGGATTTGCTTTTGACAATTTGCTGGAAATTCAGTTAACATTTGCGCTACATTTAGATGGAAACCTGGCTTATATATAACGAATACTGTCGCTGTCCATTGAAGTACAATCAATTACATGAAAGTCTGCCTCACAGATAGGTGGGTGCTATAATCATCCTTAAAGTTTCTTTTTCCACTTTTACCCTTGACCCCTCGAACGCACCTTGATATGCGAGGCATTGATGTAGCCCGTGTTGTTCTCCTTGTTTGGTACAAGCTCGACCCGATTCTCTTCGTACGGAACTACGTCACGGAAACGGTTGCGCTCTGTGTTTTCCGGTAGAGTTGCTGTTGTAAGAACACAGTCTGCCCTCTTCTTGGGAACCTGCTCATACTCAGTGAAGACCCGCTCCTCTTCCAGCTTCAACTCCAAGGTCTTACACTGGAGAGAAAGAAAGAGAAAAGAGGGGGTGTTAGTCATTGAATTGCAAGGAACAGATCATTCAGAGTTTTCTCTTTCAGTCCCGAGGGGCTTTTATTCGTTTACATTCCACCATACCTAAGAGACTATTCAGACCAGGGGATCCAGAAATCTCATTATAATATACGTCCACATTGCTAAACTCTCGTCATCACTCACAGCTGAATACTGACTATCAAAGAACTCAAAGTATGCATAATGAATCAACACAGCTGTAAAAGAGCAGAATATGCAGTGGTGGTATTCATCCTGGTTGGGGTTCGCGTTTATTAGGCCAGTTAAGTTGGAGAGAGCAGCGTCTCTGTCTCTCTCTCTCTCTCTCTCTCTTTCTGTCTATCACTCTTTCTGTGTGACTTGCTAGCTCTCTCGGGTCACATTCTTAACATACCAATGGGGCTGGAGGCGATAAGCACCACCATGCCACGCGTTCCACAGCCCACTTAGGGCTTGCCCCCGTTAGCTTAGCAACAGTCGGGACAAAGGCTGGGTTTCACACCTTCACACTAAAAAGGGAGCCAACACACAGTTTTTGTGAAATGAAATGCATTAAATATCAAATATTTATCAAAATAAAGATCAGAGGCTGTCTTTGAGTTTTACAGCAACAATCCTTCCTTTGTTACTGCCAACGGGTGAGGTGCCTGTAAATTAGACATTAATCCTCCAATCATTAAAGTAAAGTCAAATTTTGCCTTGGAGGTTTTTTTAATTCTCCAACTGAATGAAAACTCTCTTTGAGCAATTGCAAGTAAAAAAAAGAAGAAGCTGTACAATAGTTGCTTTGTATCTACTGTACCATATTACAAATAGGAATTGACATTAATAAACCTACCATTTTCACATTATAATACATCCCAAAAGATTTGGGCAGAGTAAGATCTAAAACAATGGAGCAGAAACAAAAAACCCTGAAATTATATCAACCATAACACCATCACTTATCCATGACACACACTGTCTGACTGAAAAACAGATAGCTCTTTACAAAATACTTCCTGATACAGTTTTCTTAATCTTATGCTCTATAAAGTAGGAGAAAACATTTTACCCGTTCATCAGTAGCAGCCTTGGCGCCTTCTTCCGCAGGACTCTCGGAGACAGGCATTCGGGCCACGTAGAGGCCATTTAGGGCGGCCATCATCAGCGGCCTCTTCATAGAGTCCACAGACATCTTTTGTCTTTCCAGCGTCTTCAAGAGAGAGGAAAATCCCGGTGTCATGGTTACAGGTACCGGCAGCATTGCAAGACTGACTGACCTGCGCTGGCCTCTAAACAGTGAGCGCGCACATGTGCATGTGTAGAAGTGGGTGGGGAGAATTTGACGTGTGTGTGCATGTGTGCGTCCTGTTTGTAGGGCAAACCTGGCCATACCAATCCCCTTGTATTCGGTCCAAAGGTGTGGACTACCAAGCCCCGTATACAAAGCCTATTAAGAGCAGACTGCAGCTTCTTATCCATCTCACTTCATCCTCAACTTATTTTTGACGCTTTCATTCTGGTTCTGTCCGTCCTCACATATTTATCATTCTTTCAGTCCTTTGTTTAGTCCCACCTACCTATTTGGCCTCCTTTTCCTCACAGGACACACACTCCCTGTGTCACCCTGTCTTTTTTCCTCTCCACCATGCTAGCCAAACTCTGACCCACATTGCACGGTCCCTCCTTCCTCCGCGGATTACCTCTCCTAATCTCCGATGCTATTAAACCTCCAAGACAGCTCCACCCTTCACCTCTCCACCTACTTCATTCTTTGTGGGACAGTCACAACAACAGACTGGGGGTCACAGGTATGAGATAAACCAGCTGGTATAAATTAGGGATAACAGTTTTGAGATGGAAGTAACACTAACACTTTGAATCAAATCACACTATAAACAGCCGGCCACACCAGGTCACTCTTGAACAGAAAGGTTTATCGCAACTAAGTGAGGCGATTATATGATATAACTTATACCTGGACTCTGGTGCTGTGTCAAATGTTTGTGCCCTAACAGAGCGCCGACCTACACAAAAACACCAAACCCAAAGAATAATCTGAGGGATTTATGAGGGCTTTAGCTGCCTGGGGGGACTCAGAGCCTAGTGCTACCCTCTCAGGTTCTGAACCCTGGATTACTGTTAATCAGGGGCTATGAAACTAGCTAGCAAACAACAGACTGAAATATTTGAAATTGTACCAGTATGGTGGGGTGTGTTTTGTACAGTACAAGATGATGTGTCGCTTTGAAGCTTCACTGGAATGAAACTTTGAACTTATGTGTCATAATTATTGTTTGCATGCATAGAAATTTTTTGACTTTGAATGACTTTGTTATTTTAATCCTATACTCTGTTTTTAGGGTGACTTTGTAACATTTGTCTAGGGAGTACAGATGAAAAATAGCCTCTTGGCTAACTCTGACACATTTACAGCAATGTTTTATTAATGTGCACAGTCTGTTGAATAAATCATAGTAATTATTAATGAAATAAAGAAACAATCAAGCCTGTTAATGATGCTATGTTTATCATGATAAATATAATGAAGGCTTATACATTGTAATAATTTCATATTATATTAGGGATGCAACTAACAGTTATTCTCATGGATTTTATCAACCATCCTGTTGGTTATTTTACTTAAAGCACCAAAAAAGAATTCTCATTTCTTTGTGGATTCTTGTGGCCCTTAAATAGTATTAAAAAGTACACAATCTAAAATACAGAAATGGTTAATCAAGTTACCATTTCAGATCTAATAAATTGCATGTATTATTAACAATATGTTGGCACTAGAATAAAATAAACTATACAATAAACTAAATGACTGTCTTACCCTCTGAGCGATTTCCCGCTCCACTATGCTGTCTTCTAAGGAAAACATCTCTGACACCGGCCTCTCTTTGACTGGCTCCTTCCTCACCCTCTCCTTCACACTGGTAAGGTCCGGTTCTGAAATGGATGGACCTAAAACCGCTCCATTAACCCCACCCTGGTCCCCTCTGGTCAGTGTCCCACCACCACCACCACTACCACCACCTCCAGGCCCGCCAACACAGGGGCTCTGCCCAATTTTGAGTGCTCGGCCCTGGGGTTGGTTTGGGTCCATTTGTCCATGGTTGCTCTGGGGTCCTTGATTATGGTTGTGGTGGTGAGTGTGGTTGTGATTGTGGGTGTGGGTGCGGATTTGAACATTGCTAGGAGGCCTAGGAGGACCAGGGTACTCTGGAGGGGGTTTGTTGGGCAGCTTAGCTAGAGCAGCCTGGAGTTGAGCACTGATGCTGATGTCCTCATTGAGACCTGGGATTTGAACATCCAGCTCAGGCCTCTCATCTTCCTCTTCCTCCTCTTCTTCACTCTCACTGCTGTGTATGAGCATGGTAGCATTGGAGAGAGTCTTTTGATGCTGGTAGGCCACCGGCCCAGGTGGAGCTGCAGATGCCTCAGGTGCTTTCTGGGCAGGTATCTGCATGGGCAACTCCTGCGGCTGCTGAGGTGGAGGTTGAGGCTGCGGCTGGGGTTGTGGTTGAGGGGTTTGGGGCTGAGGCTGAGGAATGGACTGAGGCTGAGGGGGCATCACGTGTTCTCTGAGAGTATTCCTCCGGTGAAGGGGAGCGTTCATGCCCTTCATCACAATGCCCTCCATCCCTCCTCCTCCGCCTCCTCTCATGCTGCTGATCACCTCCATGCTGTGTCTTTTGCCCAGGGTGGAGCGGTGCTTAGCAGCTGCAGTTAACGGTTCGCTAACCTCCTGCAGGGACTGGTGCACAACAGCTGAGCTGTCCGGCTGGAAGGTCTTGACCGACAGCTGCACCATGCGAGTAACCAGCTCTGGACTGCTGCCCCCGATGCAGCGGTGGCGGTGGCTGGCCAGGTCCGGGGTGCTGGTGGCCGGGCGGAAGGAGCTGGAAGGGTAAGGTGGAGGAGGGCGAGACATGTGGTTTCTCAGCATGTTAGCTGTAGCTGCATAGCTTCCCGCATTAGTCCCCTGTTGTTTGGTATTCGCCAGCTCAGGTGTGCTGACAGTATGAGAGATGGAGCTTCCTACACCTCCACCTCCAACCCCGCCACTGCCTCCACCTCCATTAACGCAGGGTGAATGACAGGGGCCCTGGCTGCTGGCCGGTCCTCCCTGATGAGGACCATGAGACACTGGCTTACTGTAGCTGATCTGCAAGATGAACATTCACAGAAAAAAAGGGTGAGATATAGAAAGGAGCAAGAAGAAAAAATCCTAACAAAGAGCATCCACCTCTACCTGTGGTGTATATGTTCCCGGGCTAGGCCCCAGGCCATGATAAGGGCCCCTCTCCCTCATCTCTGGCTGGCTGTACACCAGAGCCTCAGGCTGGCGGTAAGCACACGAATTACTGATGTTCAGACTGCGCAGCGATTGGCTGTGGAGGTCATGGTGAGCAGGGAGCATGCGCCGCTTCTGCCGCATGACAGCATCGTACTCAGGCGTGGGCCGGTAGGACGGAGCAATGATGGCGCTGTGGCGGTGGCTGGGGATGTAGTCAGTGCGCATGAGCTCACTGCCGGGGATGCTGAGGTTGGAGGACATGGGCGAGGGCGGGACGAAAGTCTGGGAATGATTGAGGGAGCTCAGGCTGGGGCTGCTGTACATGCTTCCATTGGGCACGGTACCGTTTCGGAAGGGAAAGTCCACCTGGCACCGGTCCAGACTGGTCTCTGACTTGTAGTAGGGGTCATCATGGAAGATACTGTCTAAAGATCAATGGAGGAAGAAAGGAAGAAAGGTAGTTGTGACAGAGGTTTGTATAGTGTATTTTTATACACCTCGACCAAGAGTTAAAACAGTTGGTAGAGTGGTATGCTTCAGTTTTCCATAAAATAAACCAGGTACAAAAAATACAGAACATGATGAGTACACAAGAACACAGTGTTAACATAGTGAAGAGTGCTCAAGATGACGAAACAAACAGAAAATCTAAAGAAAAGCACATAATAAATGAATGAAGGAGGGACCAAATTTTCCTGAAATGATCAAATTTGTCCTATAGAGAAAAGGGGTAGCTGATAAGTAATTTAACCAATGCTGTACTGACAGTGATTCTAGTTTTTTGGTTAAATTCTTTAAATTGTTGATGAGCAGTACCCTCAAGTTGTTTCTGATGTGGCTCATTGTTTGGGTCTGGTTACACTGCAGTATCAACCACCGTGGAAAAAAAAATATGAAAATGTCCTCCCAGTAGTAATAGTACCAACTACAACAACTTTAGATTTGGAATATTGTCTTCCCACCATAATGAAGGTGGTATGCATGCTATTCCTCTCTTTTTCGACTTACAGTGCATTCTCTCATGTGAAACTATCTCAAGCCCACAAGCATGCAGACATACATAATCTCCATCCACATAAACAGAGTGTGATGCCTGAGGTCACACTACAGAATGATCTCACACCCACACATAGTAGCACACCCAGAATGTTTTTCCACTCGCTCCAGTTTTTACTGTCGAGCCGACATGAGTGAAGCTCGTAGGATTATAAGGCGGACTGAGTGTGTGAACAAGTCAATGAAAGACGGAGGCACAAATGAGGTCACTGCTCTGCACCCCAAACGTTGGGATCTAATTGGCTGGGAGATTGTTAAAATATAAATGGGCTGTGAGTCACACGCCTTATGGGAAAGACACAATTAGCTTCATTCAAACACTGTGGTCAAAGCATTGTACTGGAGGGGCTGAAACTTTGTCTACATGTTTGTGTGTGTGTGTGTGTGTGTGTGTGTGTTTTTACCTTGAGAGCTCTGTGTGTCCTGATAATGCTCTCCATACTGGGAATGCATTGACTGGAAGTTACAGGACTGGGGCCGCGGCTGAATGAAGAAACACATTTAATGCAACACAGTTAGGAAGATGCAATTAAGTGCTAAACTCCATAAAGTTGTGCATATTATCATTAACTGCATACATTGAACCAACCTCTACATGCCGCATTGCAATCTTTCGATAGGTTTAATCATCTTTGCATTACAAAGAACTTAGATCTAACCTAAGCCCGTGGAGTAGTCAAGCGGCAATGCCTGCGGTTCTCCAGACAGACATCTGAGCACTCTGGACTGACTGAACAGCTATTGTGCCACATTTAGCCTAGCTATTGTCTGGCCAGCAGGGAGGGAGACGCACAAATCACTGCCTTCATTGTCGCACCGGAAATCAGACCAAGCAACACCCTTGCAAACTTTCCAACAACACCCACCACACCACCAACGCATGTTAAAACCAAGGCTCCATGGCACAATTAAGAGCTTCCCTGAGTAGGAGAGCAGGGTCAAATCTCTAACCACAGCCATTTCTGTCTTCCCTACCAAATTCTCCCTCTCCCTCTATAAAGGCCAGAGGCAATAATAAACAGGACTGTGTCAAACCACTGGGCAATAAGAACCATATCCAACAAATGCTTCTGATGGTACCAGAGATAGGCGGGGGGTCCAGGTGGGTCTCCTCCTGATTGGTGCAGGTGAGTGAGTGGGCCTAAAGAGAAGCAAACACATTAGCTGACAGCATAGAAGATGACTCATAAACAAGCTGAGCGATGATTAACAAACTCAAAGTACTGTGAACTCATTTTCACCAGTTCAAGAATAAAGTTATACAATTTGTTTTGGTATTACATTTTTTACATAACTTTCCAAAGTGTGGTGAACTCTATTAGAAAAGTGAAATGACATTTACAACTGGATATGTGTTAAGTAAGTGGATATGTGTTTTAATGGCCTTCAGCTGGCCTCTCTAGTGGCCTCGAGACTCACTCTGCACAGATCTTGTTTTGTTTGTAGAATTTGTGTCTGGCCGTGAAAAGACGAGCGATGTACTTGGCCATTTCCATATCCTCCTGCAGAAACAAACATAGAGAGAAAAACATTGATATTTTAAATTACCACAGCAGAAGTATTTATAGAAAATCAATTTGCCCCTGTATTTGTGTCTGAGCAGGGATATCTGAGAATGTGTGTTTTCTTTTGTTTACCTTCCCACAAGAAACCTTGTAAAAAAAAAAAACATAAAGTGTGTGTGTGTGTGCTGAGACCACCTGCAGACACAACACTCACCATGTGAAAAATGATGGTGTCGTCTCTGCTTGTTATCTCCACTGTGATGGCTGACTTGTTGTGTGCTATGGTGCCAATGTCCTTCCATCTGTCACAGAAACACAAACACAAACACACACACACACAAAATGAACAGGAGAATGGAATTTTCCCACACGTAAATCAAAATATTTTCTTGCATATTGCAGTAATTGTTTTTGTATTGAGGTCAAAATTCATACAGGCTATTAAAAAAATAGATAACGACGGTGGGAGACTTACTTGTGGAGCATGATGGATCTGCCATTTCTGTGTTTGACAAACACCCCAATGAAGGACACCCCGATGAAAATATCATTGGTGTAGTTGTCCTGTGGAAGAAGTTTTAATATCATAAGTAAAACCTTATTTTAATCAAGGGAAACTGGCTACTCTGTAGAGATGTGTGTGTCCAGGTAGCAGGATGTAATTTATCTACCTTAGCAGGAAAGCTCTCCTGGCCAAAACCGTCCAGTTTCTCCACCTCCTTGATGTACAGCAGCTCTGCTTCAGCAGCCTGCATCCGACTAGAAAGTACAGAAAGATGCAGTGCCAGCTATGTAAGGTAAGGTATCTCTGTAAAAGTATCTCCGATTCTTTTTCTCTCTCGTTTTTCCACATGTGCACACAGTATAATACAAAGCTGACCGTACCAGTGACTCTTGTGTTCCTCAGCGACTTTCTGGGTCCATTCCTCCAGCACCTCGTCTCCATTAGGCCAGTTCTGAGAGAGATAGGAGGAGAAGGAGAATCAAGCAACAAGTAATGGGAGGATTAATGACAGATGACAGATAGCAAGTTGAAGAAGAAGTGAGAAGGAGAACACACTATTAAAAAACCCTTTCTCCAACACCCTGTCAAACAGTTAGAAGGTGTAAATCTGGTATCCACTAGATCTTTATCTCAGCCCACACTGTCACTCAAATCCTTGCTTATTCTTTCTCTGTTTTCCTACTGTCAATCAGGTATGGAGAAGGAGGAGGTACACAAGAATGTGTGCCCTCAGGCAAGACACAGTGACGCATACACACACACAGACATACATACATACATACACACACATGTTTGAACAGTGAAGGTTTGAGGACTCACCACTGGAAAGAGAACGTACTCCCTGAGGAAGTCCTGAGACATGAACTGAGTGAAGTCTCCAAAGTCAGCTAGAAAATACAAATACACATATATTTATTTTATTAATGTTTTAGGTAAAAAAAAAAAAAAAACAATGTTAATGTAACATTTGCAAATCACATTGCCTACAATGTGATGTTTTATTGGTGTTAAGATTTTAGAGACTGAAAACTGTGACAACATTCACACTCCAGATGGTATGAACATTATCATTATTTTAAAAACGTTGTTGTTTTTGTTGACATTCATTTGAAAAGGCACACAGTTCCATAAGATAAGGTAAAATCTAATTAATTTCTAAGGAAATTTTGTGAGCAACATTTGTGTCCAAAGATGCTAACATGAGAAGAAAACATGCAAAGATAATTACAATATTTCCAATTAACACCAAGGTAAAGAAATATATTTTAGTTCTAAATCTCCCCTTTATTCCACCAGTAAATAATTAAATAAAACATATTTAGCTTGTTCTAAGTGATCTACTTTGATATCAAGACTGTGGTTGTTGACTATTAAATTGCTAAGTAGCTAAAACTTTGTTTTTTTTATATAGCTTAAAGCTTATTTTCCACGTTTCTGGAGTGTTATATAAAATTTCTAGGGAAGAAATTTGCACAGATCCCGTATTAGGGAGGCAAAATTTACAGTACTATATTTCAACTTTGGCTAATAGTCTTTGTTTCTCAGAAACCAGAGTAACAAGTAGCTTAACCAGCTAAATAATGAATTACTCCCTGATTTGTTCTATTCTCGTTCCTTGTAACTACAAACAGAAACTGTTGTGTGTGTGTAGTTACAACAAATAAATGTCTACAACACCTGCACACCATCTCCATAACATGCTCAGGCCTCCAGATAGGGCCTCTGAGTGCATCCTAAGTGCTGTTTTGCTGTCTGTCAGACGAAAGGATGTAGTGCAGGATCCTCGTCCCCCGACAGATAAGGGTCTTCCTCATGCTACTAAGGCTAACCTTGGAACTAGCGATAAGCTAACTGTCTGTTTACATTCCCCCTGAGACACAGACAGCACCCAGGAACAAGACCAAGGAGATGGAGTGAGGTTATGTGTGTGTGTGTGTGTGTGTGTGTGTGTGTGTGTGTGTGTGCGTGTGCGTGTGCGTGTGTGTGTGTGTGTGTGTGTGTGTTAAGACTGATACCATAGGAACTCAAGTGGACTGGGCTCTCCCCCAGTGGTATGCAGCCATATTAGGTAGTGAAGTCAAGATGACCTGAGAAAGTGTGAGTTTGTGCTCACTCTTTCTCTCTTGTGCTGCCTGTCTCCCTCTAATAGATTATTCACATGGGATGTTTGTTCAGGCGCGTGTGTGTGTGTGTGTGTGTGTGTGTGTGTGTGTGTGTGTGTGTGTGAGTGTGAATGTGAGTGTGTGTGTGTGTGTGTGTGTCTTACCTTGTACTGCTAGGCCAGCTAGTCTGATCCCCTGCTCTACCGTGCAGTGGAGACGTCCATCCAACACCTCCTTCTTCACCTGCAGGTAATACTGATACCTATGAAGACAGATGGAAGGATGGGAAAAGAGAAATAAAGTGTTAATCAGGTTAGATGCTGTAGAGTTTTATATTAATGTGACATTGGTCAGTCAGTCGATAAGTCCACCGCTTTGGTTCATTATCGGATGGATTGTGATTAAATCAGGCGTTCATGGTTCCCAGAGGATGAAGTCTAATGATTCCCTGACTTTTCCTCTTGTAGGGACTATTGTAGGGATTACTATGAAATATGAAATATGAAATCCATGCCCCCCTTAGGATGAATTGAGGTCTAAGTTGTAATTTGTCCAATACTTAGTTTTTTGCCCAAATACCTGAAAAACCTAATGGCACTCCCATTAGTTAAGTGCAACTCATCAATGATTACATGCTAACGGAGTAAGCTAAAATGTTGAACATGGTAAACATTTTACTTATTACACTCTACGCTGATGTTAGCATTTATCTGCAGCACTGTGCCTCTATACAGCCTCACAGAGCTGCTAGAATGGTTGCAGACCCTTAAGTCTGGGTTCAGACTGCATACCACCCGCCTTTCTACCAGCTAAACTGAAAAAACTGACTAAGTGGGTGGTGGCATATTAGTTTTCAAAAACTCACCAGAATTGGGTTGGTGGTTAACTAACCACACTGTCTCTGAACGCCACTTATATGAAATCAAGTTGGAAAACATGATGGGTTTCATTTCAACACGTGTATCCAAAGAAAGTAAGAAGAGCTGAGCTCACGGCGTCGAACATTAACAACTGAAGGATTGCAAACATCCACTGAGACACCACAGAGAGACGTATTCTTCTGCTTCTGGTTTGTGCAACAGAAAGTATGCGTCAAGACAGTATTGGCAACAGCATTAGCGGTTAAAACAATGTCAGAGAAACCTGTTGCAGAATCCAAGTGAGGAATGAGTGAATCACCTCTATTTGAAATACGTGTGACTCATTTCTGAGAGGAATGCCAAATGTATACCAGCAAGGGCCTAACAATATGAATTTACAAGTCTGTACGTTTTCGCTAATAAGGACTGAGTTTAATCTTAAATGGGACGAACACAAGCAGGACAAAAGAGAATTATAATTGCTTTGCGAATGTAAGGCAAACTGGCTACTCTGTGCACTGTGGTTTTGGGCAGTGGTGGTTTTGCCAAGTGTAAGCTGATATGATGACACTGTTTGTTGAGCCCACTTGCAGCCTTCACATAACGTGGTAAAAGTCCCAAAACCAAGAGGCCGAAAAATACACTGAGCTCCTTAAGTTTGAGCGCCTTTTGTCCTCTTTTAGCTGTGGTCCAACTGGATGTTTGACTTTTAAAGAATGGAGCGGCCACACAGGAGGAAAGAGAGAACTGTCAGGGTGACCGGCCTCGGCTGCATAAAAACTCGCACAACGTTTCCTGTTTGTTGCCATGGTGACAGCAGGCCCAGTCTTTCCAATGTGGGCTGTGAGACACCTTTTCTGGACGCACACACACGCTCACACTCACAGTCAGAGAGAGCTTTGAGTGGAAGCTTACATCAGGCAGTCCATGCCAGAGTACACAAACGTCTATGTGGAAACCACTGAGCTATACATGCTTACTCATTCACTCAGTCTTCCTCTGAAACACCGACAGTTTGATTCCCCAATTCCTGAATTTCCTTTCCTCCTCGTTCATTCATCACTATCTCCCTGTACTGTTAATTTACCCTCGCAGCTCCTCTACCTCCTCACATCGCTCATGTTCATATTCTTCTTCACATTCTCTCCCTGTCTCACTCACTTCTTCTTCTACTTGTTCTTTTCTTTTTTGAGCTCCACTCAGCATACTGCCGGGCCTATAATCTGACCCCGCCCTCCTCCCTCACCCTGTCATTACACTCGTTGGCCAAGCTGCCATTCCGTTCCCGTGGCAACCCTTTAATTAGCCAACCCCAACTGCCGCGGCTGTATCGAGGGGGGGGAGGAGCTTGATGCGGTCTAGAGGGGAGGAGCCTCACAGGACACAGAACCCTTCAAATGATTGTGGACTTTGTTTTTACAAACTCTCCATGTTTTCCCAGCGCTCTCTGTATGGGGTCTGGGGAAATGTTGAGGTTGACAGTGGTTGGTTCTCATTCTGAGGTTCAATGGTAACATGATGGTGTTTATACATATGCGAGGCCAGCGGTGGAGAGGCGGACGGTAAACTGTTAAAATAACTATGAACAAGTGAAAGCGTGACAGTAAAAGGCAGTAAAGGGAAGTCTTAGAGTGCTCCTCATGAGAAAACCACAAAACATCTTATAGAACAGTGGCTTTACCAGTATATATTTCATTTAAAACAAACTATTGTCTACTTGTGAACAGTACAAAAGCTACATGTGTCTACAGGCTGCAACCAGTTCAACCAAAGGGTGACTATTCCTTCTCAGTTTGTTTTATTTGAATACTTTTCAGATGCCAACAGAGATAAAAATGACCCAGTAATTCACAAGAAAAAAGGGCAAGCTTTTTGTCTGATAAGATAAACCCAATGAACACAGTTATCTGCATATCACAACTGAGCACTTAATTCTATTAAATTGACATTTATGAGGGAATATAAAGCACACCATATAGCAAGACTTTTCTGCAAGCTGTGGGATGTTGGAGTCCTGTTACTAATAAGAAATCTGGTTTACTGGCAAGATAAATTATCAAAGTTACCTTAAGAACTATGAATTAAACAATTATTTTATCGAAGGATTTCCTTTTTCATATTGTGTCACCTCCGATATGATTACAGTATAGCCACTTAAATATACAGAGCTGTTGGGTAAATGGGTATTCTTTAGGTAGATAGGAGATTATAATGTTGGCAAAAATGGTCCAGTCCTAACAATAACCCTGCATCAATACACATTTAAGTCTGAAGTTGAACGTAAAGCTGCACAAGCCTCGAGTAATGCATGAGGCTTAAGACAACATTGACAGAGTCTGGGAAATGTTTATGTTTGAAATGATCCTAACCACATATAGTCCACATGCTGGATATTGAAGGATTCAACTACAGAAAGATACACATCCTCAAATATTGAGAGAAACCACTCACTCTAAGTTCATGTCTCAGTATTTCGAAAATAAAGACATTCCTGTCCTCAAATATGTTTGTGCTTTGCAGACAATGATAATAAGATAACAGGGTTTACTGTCTTGTTAAATTAAGTTATCTAATAACAAGCCTTTGTAAATCATTATTGAAAACTACATTTAAAAAGTACATATATTTTAAGAAACAGTGTCCCTATTCCTCTGCTTGATCTACCAAACTTAATGTCAACCTTTTTTATGGGACTATTTCTTAAGCAGGAAGTAGTTCTGCCGCCACAGTGAGCTCTGTGGATTGTCCTGAGTAATGGAAACACTGTCTCTGGAAAGACATATTGCTTTTTCCGTCCTGTGAGTACCACAAATCAAATTCCATTTACCTTTATTGTATTGGAAGGGGAGCAGAAATCTCTAACACATCTTTTAAAAAAACTAAAATATCAGCATGGCTATTTACCATTGGAGGTAGATGAGAAAACTTGTGTTGTATGTAACAGAAAATAAAATAATAGAAAGAAAAATACATCAAATATATACACTATGTGAAAACAGTAAATAAAAACATACTTACTATTTGTTTCACATCTTCTAGTCTAGCCACATAGACTATTACTTATATGCTTACACATACATGTCTCCAAAAACGTCATTATGGTGGCACACACCTGGCACATATGCCAGCTTGACATCACTATGCTGTAATAACAGGTGAATATACATACAGAGACATGAGGCAGAGCTTTCCTCACTAAGGGTTACTTGTGACTTCCACCATGGCAGAGTGCTCTGCTGGCACTCCAGGCAGCCACACAGGCACAAAGAGCCCTTTATATGCCCACGCATGTTCAAGCCCCGCTCAAGACACGCTGCCAGATGTCCAAGCAGCCTGGACAACAAGCCTGCGAGCATATGTGCATGCATGCATGAATGTGTGTATGTGTGTACATATGCTTCACCCCCTCCTCCCCCCACCCACCCCCCACCACCTCTGCAGTGGTATGACCCTGACCACCCCCTCAACCCTGGATGGGTCCAGACAGCTTGTGTGGGAGGCAGGAGGATTTCACTTTGAAATGTGTTGAATCAGCAAGGGGCACAACAGAGTACAGCTGTGTGTGTCTGTGTGTGTGTGTGTGTGTGTGTGTGTGTGTGTGTGTGTGTGTGTGTGTGTGTAGTGATAACTAGCTGAACAAAGCTAGGATTTCAAGGCTGTTGGTGCTGTTAGCCTTGGGGGCTGCTGAGGCCAGCTGGCCTCGCTCTGGTCAACAGCTCTCTGTTTAGGGTTCCTCACTTTCTCTCTCTGGGCCACTTTGCCCCTCCTTCATATCAGTGAGACAGAAGGAAACAGAAGGCTTCAACCACACATACACCTTCTGCAAGATGTGTGTGGTAAAATGGGATAAATACAAGTATTTTCAGATAGGAAAAAATAAAGAGATCTAGGTACGTGTAAGTGAGTAATATATAGGAGGTAGTATGGGATTAGAAAGAGAAGCACTTCAGGGGTTGAACACAGTGCAGCCGACTCTGAATCAGAATCAGGTTTATTGCCAAGTAGGTTTTCACATACAAGGAATTTGTTTTTGTTTTGGTATTTGGTATACTGGTGCATAACAATAAACATAGAACAAGAAAAAATATAAATTAAGGTTAAAACAAGTACTGCAAGTCAAGAAGCATAAATAAAAACCTTGACAATAACATACAAGAAAATATTATAAAGACAATAATAGATCATATGCACAATATGACTGTTACTTTAAATGGAAGCTGTACAGTTTGTGCAGGAATGTGCAGAACAGGATGGTACACACACACACACACACACACACACACACACACACACACACACACAAAGAGCAGTCATTCTGTCTCTAAACAAATAAAACAAGGTAGTGCCCCACACCAATACCCTCCAAGCTATTTGTTTACAACCAGTAATGCGATTAAAGCAT